GAGTATAACATTATAACATGATATAAAACTCAAAAAAGTTGATTTTACATGATATTGCCCCTTTAAGAAAAATACAAGGTAGAGATAATAGTCTCACCCACAAAAGTACAGTTTACTCAGATTGGTCAACTGTAATAACACATTTATTTCTAATTAATTTTTTATTCACACAAGACACCATATTTGTGTGCATAGCAGTTGTGATAATTTCAGGTCACTTTATACATTTGAGTTAATCTGAGCCACGCACTAAAGTGATTTAGTTTTCTTGAATTACTTGAGCTGTTCATGCTGCACCTCCCTCATCCTCGCTGCAAAAAATAAAAGCTATGATGTGGATGTTAAGGATCCACACTGGGATTTTTCAGATATGTTTATTTTATAGTTCCACACACAAATAAACAAACACATTTCAAATGATGGAACAAATGGAATGGACACAAATGTGCAAACCACATGTTAAATGTGTGCTCACACTACAGATCTTAATGCTCAATTCAGATTTTTTTTTTTTGCAAAAATCAGATTTTTTGGCATGAATGTTCACTTTATATTTTAAAAGTGGCCTCCATCAGACTCCAGTGTGAATTCTACACAGCCCTGGTGAGAACATGTGCAGAAAAAGACGTGACGTCACATTCATCTTGCTATTTTAATGAATGAAAAAAAAAGAATAAATTAAGTAAGTAGCATATGGATGCTACTTGTTAGCAAGTCAATTCTGAAGTTGTTGTGCAATCAGAGCAGAATAAAAACATTATCTGACGTGCTTGTTTAGTTCACTGTTCAGCATGTAGTTTTGGAATGACAGCCTGACACTGATGTTACTATCAGATATTTCTGTGGATTCTCGGTTATCCAGAACATAGAGAATTAAAAGGACAAAGACAAAGCAACTGGACGTCTGCTCTATAGGTTATGACGAGCATCGTTTCAAGATTTAAATTGCACAAGGTTAGTATCAGTATTCAAAATACTTGGATCAGTCTTCTCACCACCACTTCACAGATGTAAATGTCTGAGGAAATGTGACTTGAGGCTTCAGACTGTGGATGCTTTGAAAAAACAGCAGATATGTTTCTGATTTAGTACCACATACTGAAAAGGCCTGGGTTGTGGTGTTGGGCGGAATAACGGTTCATACCGGAAACAGTTTTTTAAAATTTTGTTATGAATTTTCTGAATACCAGACATACTGGTTTAAATAGCCTGAACATGTTCAGTGTGCAGCAGGGAACTGTTTCCCTGGGGGACACTTCTCCTCATAGCACCGCTATGCACATTAACAAGCTAATGTTATTGCTGGAGCAGCTTGTT